CCTAGCATGTGTGAGGCACAGGGCTCAATCCTCAGCACCACATAAAACTAAATACAATAAAGGTATTGTGTCCAATTACAACTAAAAAATATTTTTTTAAAAAGTAAAATAAAAAAATTAAAAGGGCCTAGGCTGGGTACAGTAGTGCACGCCTGTAATCCTAGTGGCCTGGGAGGATCACATGTTTAAAGCCAGCCTCAGCAATTTAGTGAGGCCCTGTCTCAAAAAATAAAAAGGGCTGGGGATGTAGCTCAGTGGTAAAGCGCCCTTGGGCTCAATTCCCACTACAAAAGAAAAAAGAAAAAAAAAGCAGTGTTGGAGGAAACTTAGGGTGATGAGTGATGGTGTCACAAGTGTACACATTATAACTTTCCTGACTGTACACTTTGAATATGTGCTTTTCTATATGTCGGTCACACCTCCATCTCTGAGGGAAAAAAGACAAGCATTTCCTCTGGGCTCACTTGCCCATCCTGCTGCTGTGGGTGAGGTAGGATCACTGTGGTCCAGTCCAGAGGAGATTCTCAAAGGGTTAGTGGTGGATTTCAGGTAGTTTTGACCACTTCTCCTCTTGGGTTCCCACCATGAGGCCAGTGGCTCATCAGCCAGAGGGAGCCTTTAAGGTTGAGGACAAGGACAGGTCCCTTGGAGGTGCTGCTGCTTCTCTTGGACCGGGGCCAAGGAAAAACAGATTTTGGCCCTCTGTGAGTGTGTGTGCATGGATACCTGAGCCATGGTCAGGCTTGGGCTGAGGGTAACAGGCTCTCTGAGGATCAGCCCTTTGGAGTCCTCTGGCTGCCACAACAAATTACATAAACTGGATGGCTTAAAGTAACCATTTATTCTGTCATGGTTCTGTACGGTAGAAATCTGAAGTCAGAGCGTTAGCAGGGTCATATTATTCTTGGAGGCTCTAGGGAAGCACCTTTCCATCCCTCTTGTAGCTACTGGTGGTTGCTGGCAGTCCTCACATTCCTTGACTTGTAGCTGCATCACCGATTCCTGCCTCATCTTCACATGGCCAGCTTCTCTGTGTCCAGATTTCCCTTTCCTTGTAAGGACACCTGTCATTAGGCCCATCCTAATTCTGTATGACTTCATTTTAACCTGGTTACAACTGTACAAATACCATTCTCTAATATGAGCATATTCATAGGTTGGGGAGTTAAGATTTGAACATATGATTCACAACATAAAATTTGAGAGGAGGAAGCCTCTGTGGCTTCCCTCAAAGGGTCAGATAGGCACATGTGGGAATTATTTTTCTGAAAAGAAAACAGTAGCTTTGAGTCTAAAAGAAGAGACAAACTTAATGCCTTGCTGCTTAAAGAGTGTGGTTGCAGGTCTGGGGCTGTAGCTCAATGCCAGAGCGCTTGCCTACCATGTATGAGGCACTGGTTTTGAGCCTTAGCACTGCATAAAAATAAACAAATAAAATAAAGGTATGCTGTCCATACCCAACTACAAAAAAAAAAAAAATGTGGCCACAGACCAGCAGCAGCCTCACCTGGAAGTGTTAGAAAAGCAGAATCTCAGGTCCCTCCCCAGACCCACTAAGTCAGCATCTGTATTTTAACAAAGTCTCCAGTAATTAAAATCTTACTTTTATTTCCTTTTCCTCTCATGGTGGGTCTGGCTCTCAATCTTTGTGCATGAGTCAGTTATTTCTCTCTCTCTCTCTCTCTCTCTCTCTCCCTCTCTCTCCCCCTCTCTCCCCCTCTCTCCCTCCAGTGTTAGGGATTGAACACTAGGACCTTGTGCAGGCTAGGTAGGTGCCCTACACCCCCACTCCATGGTCTCTCTTTGCATGGTGTGTTCTTGCGTTTCTGTCCTCATGTACTGATGCAGCCCATTTGTGGGCCCTTTGTACACAGCTTGGAGTTTGCTAAGCCAGTCCCTTTGCTCATTCTTATTTATTTATTTGTTTATTTATTTATTTTTGTGGTGCTGGGGATTGATCCCAGGGCCTTGTGCATGCAAGGAAAGCACTCTACTAACTGAGCTATATCCTTAGCCCTCCTTTGCTCATTCTTGGGCTGTATCCTGCTTTTTTTAAAAAAAAAAAATTTATTTCTTAGATTTAGGTGGACACAATATCTTCATTTTACATTATGTGGTGCCGAGGATCGAACCCCGTGCCTTGTGCATGCTAGGCGAGCACTCTACCACTGAGCCAAACTTTAGCCCCTGTATCCTGCTTTTTTGCTGTTTATACATGTTGCCACTGTGAATATCTCTCTCCATATTCCTTTGTAGTTAGTTTGTTAGAATGGAATTTCTGGAATCAAGTGCATGAGCAGTGTGGACTCTTATATTATTTATTTTTTGTGATACTGGCAGTAGAACCCAGGGCTTTGTGCATGTTAGGCAAGCACTCTACCACTGAGCTATATCCCTGGCCCATATCTTTTTTTTTTTTTTGGTACTGGGGATTGAACTCAGGGGTGCTTAACCACTGAGCCATATTCCCAGCCCTTTTAATTTTTTTTTTATTTTGAGACAGGGTCTCACTAAGTTGCTTAGGGCCTCACTGATTTGCTAAGGTTGGCTTTGAACTTGTGATTCTCCTGCCTTAGCTTTCAGAGTTGCTGGGATTACATCTTATCATTCTTATCACAGTGCAGACATGACACTGGGTTTCTTCCCTTCTCTCCAACAATGTATATGAGAACCTGATTTGGGAAGACAAATAGCAGAAAATGTTTTTATGTCAGATGGATCTGAGTGCAATATGTTACTTTTTTGCTGTGTGACATTGGTCAAGATACCATCTCTGAACTTGGGGTTGCTCTCCTATAAAATCATAATAATGCTATAAACTTTGTAGGTATTTTGTAAAGATAATAATTACACTATCATCCAGGCAAGGTGGTGCATTCCTGTAATCCCAGTGGCCTGGGAGGCTGAGGCAGGAGGATCTCAAGTTCAAAGCCAGCCTCAGCAACAGTGAGACACTAAGCAACTCAGTGAGACCCTGTCTCTAGATAAAAATACAAAATAAGGCTGGAGATGTGGCTCAGTGGTTGAGTGCCTCTGAGTTCAATCGTAATACCCTGCCCCCCGCAAAAAAAGCACTTTCTGTGAATCCTTAAATTCTTTTTTAAAAGCATTTTTAAATTTACTTTTTTAAAATTAACCCTTACATTATTTTGCAAAGTGGGTATAATCATCCCTTTTCTCATTTTACAGAAAAAGAAACAAAAACTTGGATTAAGGGCTGGGACATAGCTCAGTTGATAGAGTGCTTGCTTTGCATGCACAAGGTCCTGGGTTCGATCCCTAACACCAAAAAAACAAAAAACAAACAAAAAAACTTGGATTTCATTCCAAGTTAACTTATCTGAGGATGCACTGTAAGTACATTATGTGCCCAAGTCCCAGGCGGTCACGTCCAGACCGTTAAGGTTGCACAGTGTGGGTGTAAAAGATACTGAGCATCTAGCCCTAGCACACAGCCTACCCCAACACTTGTAGAGTGCCTGTCTTCTCTTCCCAGAGGCCTTATCAGTTTTGTTGAGTTACTTCCAGAGTAATGGTAACTTGGCATTGCTGTCCTCCACTAGTGATTCTCCATATTTGTTTTATGTATAAACTCTCTCCCACTGGAAATGAGTGTGTATGCATTTGGTACTAACAAAAAAGTGTGTGTGATTGAACCCCAGGGCCTTGCATGGCTAGGCAAGTTCTCTACCATTTTTTTTTTTTTTTCCTGAGACAGTGTCTCATTCAGTTTCCAGGCTGGACTTGAACTTGCAATTTATTTATTTGGTATTGGTAAGTGAATCCAGGGGCACTCAGTCACCGAGCCACATCCCCAGGTCCTTTTTTTTTTTTTTTGTATTGGAGATTGAACTCGGGGGCACTCAACCACTGAGCTACATCCCCAGCCCTATTTTGTATTTTATTTAGAGACAGGGTCTCACTGAGTTGCTTAGCTCCTCACCTTTGCTGAGGCTGACTGAACTTGCGATCCTCCTGCCTCAGCCTCCCAAGCTGCCCCCAGCCCTTTTTTATGTTTTATTTAGAGCCAGGTCTCACTGAGTTGCTTAGGGCCTCACTAAGTTGTTGAGGCAGGCTTTGAATTTGTGATCCTTCTGCCTCAGCCTCCCAAGCCACTGGGATTATAGTTGTGCACCACCAAGTCCTGGCTGTAATACATTTTTTAATTTTTTTTGCAGGGGTGGGGGGGCTAATACTGGGGATTGAGCCCAGGTCCTTACACATGCTACACAGTACTCTGCCACAGAATTACACCCCAGCCTTGGCCTTTCACATGTAATTCTTTTGCCTTAGCCTTGCAAGTAGCTGGGATTACAGGTATGTGCTCCCACACTTGGCTGAAAATGAGTTTACATTTTTTAAAATTTTTTATTATTTTAGATGTTGATTGATGTTTATTTATTTACTTATATGTGATGCTGAGAATCGAACCCAGTGCCTCACCCATGCTAGTAAGCACTCTACCACTGAGCCACAACCCCAGCTCATTTAAATTCTATTTTTTTTGGGGGGGGGATTGAACCCAGGGCCTTGTGCATGCAAGGCAAGCACTCTACCAACTAAGCTATATCCCCAACCCCAATTTTTAAAAAAAAATTTTTTTTAGTTGTAGATGGACATAATACCTTTATTTTATTTATTTTTTTTAATGTGGTGCCAGGAATCAAACTCAGTGCCTCACCCATGCTGGGCAAGTGCTCTACCTCTGAGCCACAACCCCGGCCCTGAAAATGAGTTTTTAAAGGACTCAGAACACAGGGTTAGGAGCAGAGTAGTCTCTGATCATTGCTGCTAACTGGCTCTTTCTTTTCCAGGGACAAGAATGGGGAGACTGCTGGTAGCCATGAGCTCCTGGGGTTAAATCAGGCTGGTAGTCATGGGGCTGGGATGGCCCCAAGCCTGGTTATTGGGCCTGCCCACAGCTGTGGTCTATGGCTCCCTGGCCCTCTTCACCTCCATCCTGCACAATGTGTTCCTGCTCTACTATGTGGACACCTTTGTCTCAGTATACAAGATCAACAAAGTAGCCTTCTGGGTTGGAGAGGTAGGATCAGCACTGGGCAGTCAGCCTGGTGGGTGCATAGGCTGCTAGGTAGATGGCAGGTGCTGAGTCCCACCTATTCAGGGACATAAGGCAGGCCAGGTTGCCTACCAAGACTCAGCCAGAAAAGCTGGTGGAGGCTTTGATGACTTCTCAGTGGGGATTAGATTAGTTTCCTGGCTATTGTCATATATTCATTGTTCTTTACATTCATGTACAGTATAATCACACATGCTAATTTGTCATCTGGTTATACTTACTAGCTGGGCCCTGGATGAGGCATTGATAAGTGAGTGGCTGGGAGTGTGGGTCTGAGCAGAGGAACTGACCGCAAGGTCTGCAGGCAGCACAGCTGGGGCCATCTTTGAGGGGTGGGGAGTTCTGCTAGAAGCTGCCTGGACCCCACTGTGCCCATCTCCTTTTGCCTGTAGACCGTGTTTCTCCTCTGGAACAGCCTCAACGACCCCCTCTTCGGCTGGCTAAGTGACCGCCAGTTCCTCAGCTCTCAGCCCTGGTTTGTATTTGGGGATGGCTCAAAAGAGCTTCAGTTCCCACCTGTCTCTTGTCCTGGAGGACCCCTGCCTGCATTCGGGGTGGGGAAAGAAAGGCCAGTTCAAGTGTTGGATATGGATCCACTCCCTTCCCACGGGCCAGGGCAGGCTCTGTTCAAGTTGAAAAATTGGCTTTGCCTAACCCCTGCCTTGCTCACCAGGGAAGAGACTGACCCCGGCTTGGCTTATGTGGCTTCTCAGAACTCTGCGCAGCAAACACCCTATGCTGCTCCCATCAGATTGCCTTTCCTCATGCTTGGGCTCATCACTGCCCCCAAGCCTGAGAAGTGGGTACCCCATTGCCCTTTGGCCATCAACTGACAGACTAGAGGGGGGGCGGGTAGGGCAGAGGAAAGAGTGCACCCACTGGTAAGCTGTGCTTCCTAAGTTGGAGACTGGAGACTGGAGACTGGGTGCATCCTGATGTGTACCCTACATTCTAGGCCTCTGTCCCTCCTCCAAGGCCTGGACGGGAACTGGGGCCAGCCAAGGCCAAAAGGGCATTTCCCAACACCCTCCTCTCCCTGGCAGGTCTGGCGCCAGGCTCTCCTCAAGGGCTGTGGTGCTGGCACGGGTACGGGCGCTGGGCAGGCACGGGCCACTGCTGGCACTGTCCTTCCTGGCATTCTGGGTGCCTTGGGCCCCAGCTGGCCTACAGTTCTTGCTGTGCCTGTGCCTTTATGATGGCTTCCTGACACTCGTGGACCTTCACCATCATGCCTTGTTGGCCGACCTGGCACTCTCGGCCCACGACCGCACCCATCTCAACTTCTACTGCTCCCTCTTCAGTGCAGCTGGCTCCCTCTCTGTCTTTGCCTCCTACGCCTTTTGGAACAAGGAGGACTTCTCCTCCTTCCGCGCCTTCTGTGTGGCACTGGCTGCTGGCTCTGGGCTGGGCTTTCTGGGGGCCACGCAACTACTGAGGCGGCGGGTTGAAGTGGCTGGAAAGGACCCTGGGTGCTCAACCCTGGCCATGGATGGTGGGTGAGTGGCCATCAATGCTGGGATCCCAGGCTGATGCTGAGTCCTTTGGCTGATGGGTGGCTGCTCTAGGGTGGGAGCAGACTTTGGCCCAGCCCCAGCAGTTCTCAACTCCCCTCTGCCCATAGCCTGTATGGAGAGGAGCTGCTAGTGGGCAGTGAGGAAGTGGGCAGCATCACCTTGGGCCAATACCTCCGGCAGCTGGCACGCCACCAAAACTTCCTGTGGTTCGTGGGCATGGACCTGGTGCAGGTATTGGGAATGGTATCTTTCCCCCAGTGACTGGGCTATCTCACACTCTAGTGGACAGGTGCCTCAGGAGTTGGGCATTTAGGAGACCTTGCTGGGCAATTTGGTGACAGGGACAAGGTTGGGATATTAAACCTGGGTCATAGCATTCTCTGAATGATTTCAGGTAGGTCTCAGCCTCTCTGGGTAGCCTTGTCCTTACTTACAAAGTGAGGGCTGAAAGATTGTCTCCTATTGGGACTCTGTTATAATCTTTTTAAAACACCAAGTGCCACTCCTAAAACCCATGTAGTGTACAAATTAGCTACATTTAGAAACCAATTTTTTAAATGTCTTGAGACTTGTTTTACTAATGTGTTTTCAATTAAAAGAAAAACTTATTCCAATTATCATTTTATTATGTCTCTAACTTTTTGATAACCAACAGGAATGTGGCTTTAGATCTTTTTCTGGCATGTTCCATGTTTAGGGACTTGGGGACAGAAGCCAGTTCTCTACTGCTCTGAGGACCAGGAGACATGTGCTTCCCCTATTGGCTTATGGCCCTGCTGGGGTCACCCTCCTTACTGCCCTGTTGGCTTATAGGTGTTCCACTGCCACTTCAACAGCAACTTCTTCCCCCTCTTCCTGGAGCATCTGCTGTCAGACCACATCTCTCTCTCCACTGGCTCCTTCCTGTTGGGTGAGTGGGTGCCTCAGGCAGGCTAAGGATAGAGGCTGTACCCAGAGCCCCTAGCCCAGCTGCAGGCGTGGTCTAGCTGAGGGCCAGGTGGCAGAGGGCGGGGATGAATCTGCCAGGGCATTGCACCTTGGGGCCAGCTCTGTTTTCCTGAGGTGGTGGGTTTCCGGGAGGGACTGACGCACAGGCTAATCCTCTTGGTGATGGTGCCACCCAGAGGCGTTATGGTGCAGTGCAGTGGTTGCTTAGCAGTGAGGACTATATCTGATAAGCCTGGGTGTGTCTTGACCTTGTTCTCTCCCTGGATAGTCTTCAGTATGTCATTTTTTGGGGCCTCCCTTTCTCGCTTGTAAAGTAAGGAGAAATCCTGGATGTGTGGGCTCCATATCCGTGGACTCAACCAACCCACAGATTAAAAATATTCAGGAAAAAAAATTGTATCTGCATTAAACATATAGTCTTGTTTTCTTGTCATTAGCCTCTAAACAATATAGTTTATATCAACATGTATCAAATAGTATGACAATTTATATTTATATAGTAAATAGTATGACAATTATTTATATGACATGTATATGGTATTAGGTATTATAAGTAATAAGAGATAATTTAAAGTGTGTATGTGGGATGTGACTAAATCAGATGCAAATACTATGTCATTTTATATAAAAGACTTAAAAATCTATGGATTTTGTTTTCCCTGGGTTATCCTGGAATCAGTCTCCTGAGGATACCAAGGGACAACTCTTATTTACTTTAAAGGCTTGGGAAGATTAGATATAAACATGTGGTGTGGTACACACTTATAATCTCAGCTACTCCAGAGACTGAGGCAGCAGGATCACAAGTTCAAAGCCAGCCTGGTCAACTTAGCCAGACCTTATCTCAAAATAAAATTTCAAAGGGCTGGGAAAGCCAGACATATTTGCATGTCTGTAATTCAGGCAACTCTGGAGGCTGAGACAGGAGGATTGCAAGTTCAAAGCTAGCCTCAGCAACTTAGTGAGACCATGTTTCAAAATTTTTATAAAGGATTGTAAATATAGCTCAGCATCCTTGGATTCAATCCCCAGTACCAAAAAAAAAAAAAAAAAGAAAGGGAAAGAAAAAAAGAAAGGGCTAGGGAAGTAGTTCAGTGGTATTAAATTTCCCTGTATATGCAAAGCCCTGGGTTTAATCCCCAGTACCAAAAAGAAAAATTAAAAAGTGTGTGACACTCTTAGCACAGAGCCCAGCACATTGTTAGTGTGCAATTGATGCAAAGTCTGATTCTTAGAGTTACAATGTCAATCACTGCTGAGGCTATGGCAGTGCCCCTGACAAGACAAGGCCCTCTTCCTTCCCCAGGTGTCTCCTATGTCGCTCCCCATCTCAACAACCTCTACTTCCTGCCCCTGTGTCAGCGCTGGGGTGTCTACGCAGTAGTGCGGGGTCTCTTTCTGCTCAAGCTGGGCCTTAGCCTGCTCATGCTGGTGGCTGGCCCAGACCATCCTGGCCTGCTCTGCTTCTTCATCGCCAGGTATGCTTCTGCTCGAACTCATCCCCACCCCCACCCCCATCCCTTTATCCCACCTTTCACCCTTGCCTACTCCCTCTGCTGGCAGTAACCGTGTTTTCACTGAGGGCACCTGCAAGCTGTTGACCCTGGTGGTCACTGACCTGGTGGATGAGGACCTGGTGCTGAACCATCGTAAACAGGCGGCCTCAGCGCTTCTCTTTGGCATGGTTGCCCTGGTGACGAAACCAGGCCAGACCTTTGCCCCACTGCTGGGCACCTGGCTGCTCTGCTTCTATACAGGTGAGGCTCCACAGGTACAGCTTACCTGGAACACCACCTGACAATCTTGTGAGGAAGAGAAAATGGCCACTTGCTAGGCCTGGTCTATCCTGGGCTGCTAACCAGGATAGCCTTTCCCACACAGGTAGAGGAACTTGGTCTCAGATTCATTTATTCTTTCATTAATTTGTTCATCCATTCAGTGAGTATAGAACACCTACTCTATGTGCTGGGGAGATCACAATGAGTAACAGACAAGGTCTTTGTTATCACAGAGCTTATACTCTGATTGGGAGCAGGGTGTTGGCAATAAACAACAAACAAGAATGTATCAAATAATGGAGTGTTGTAGTAAAATAGATGGGGAAAGATGAGACCCTATGGCTGAGAAGCCGCTAAATATGGCTATACAAGGCCTCTCCTTGAAGGTGACCCTCAGGATGTGAACTGAATGGCAAGGTTTGGTCAAGAAAAGGTCTCAGTGAATAATAGGCAGAGGGGATGGCAAATGTGCAATTGATGCAAACTCTGATTCTGAGAGTTACAATGTGTATCAGGAGATTTGGAGAGAACTTTGTATGGGGTTTGGATTTTATTTATTGCACAGGGAAGATATTGGGAGAGTTACAAGCTGTGCAGTGATGTGGTCTGATTTTGTTTGTTTATTTATTTATTTATTTTACGGTAGTATGGATTGAACTCAGGACCTCTCATGCCCAGGAAAGTATTCTACCACTGAGCTATACCTCCCAGCTCTTTTATTTTTTGTGGTGCTTAAGGTTGAATCCATGGCCTTGTGCATATAAAGGCAAGCACTCCACCAACTGAGCTTTATCCCTAGCCCCTCCCAGCTCTTTTTTAAAATTCCTATTTTGAGACAGGGTCTCACTAAGCTGCCTAGGCTAGCCTTGAACTTGTGATCCTCCAGCCCTACTCCCCACCCCACCAGCCAGTAGTTGGGAATCCAGGAATGGATCACCATGCCTGCTCTGATGGATGTTTTGGAAAGTTCACTATGGCTATTTTATGGGAGGACAGATTGGATCATAGGGAAGCCAGAGTGGGAATAGCAGGAGGATAATTGGAAGAGTGTGACAGAGGCAATGGAGTGTTTGAGCCAGTGTGGTGGCAGGTGGGATGCATTTTGGAGTTGGGGGAGACAAAGACTGGGTATGGAGAGTGATGAAGTTAACTAAGGAATTGAGGCAGGCCTGCAGGATTTGGCCTGAATTATTGGGTAGATGGTGGTATCATTCACAAAAAGGGAAGATTGGGAGGAGCAGGTTTACGGGAGGCATCAAGAGTTGTGTTTTGGGACACATGACATTTGAAATGTCACTCCATGGACTTTGGAAAGGAACTGTTGACCATGTACTTTCTATGCTCTCTTGTCCTAGGTCATGATCTTTTCCAACAGCCTCCAATGACCCCTGTTGGGAGTGCCCAGCCCTGGCCAGAGCCACCAGCTCCAGCCCCAGCACAGGCCCCCACGCTCCGCCAGGGCTGCTTCTACCTGCTGGTGCTGGTACCTATCACTTGTGCACTGCTGCAGCTCTTCACCTGGTCCCAGTTCACACTGCACGGGAGGCGCCTGCACATGGTCAAGGCCCAGCGCCAGAATTTGGCACAGGTCCAAACCCTGGACATTAAGACAGTGTGAGAGGTGCAGTAAGGCTACCCTGTTGAGGACACTGCCCCAGTCGGGGAGCAGGAGCCACTTTTGCCAGTGTCCTGCTAGTGCACCTTCTTTGGGTGCAGCATAGAGGAGATGGCAGATGGGAGCTCCTGGAACTTAGCTAGGAATGTCATTGAAGTCTTTTCCTCCCTAGCTGTCTGGCTCAGTTTGAGCAAGGGCTGGGCTCAGAGACATGGTTCCTCTGTGGGGCAGGAGGAAAGAGGACCAGAAAGGATAGGGCTACATGTGGTGACTGCCATGGGGCATGGAGGCCCAGCCTACTGTCAGCTAGGGCTGGCTACTCTAGCGGGCTTAAGAACCACTTTTGATAACACAACTACTCCCTTTTGCCTAGTCAAGGGAAGCCTACTCTAAGTGCCACTTGCCACTGCCTCCTAGTGTTTTTTTTCAGAGTTCTTCTTTAGCTGTTTGAAGTAGCATGTTCCCTCTGCTGCAGGACTCTCCCATCAATATACCTCTGGAGAAGCTCATTTTGTTACAGATTGATTAAAGCCAGTCATTCCTACTTCTTAGGTCCATGTGAGAGAGGGAGAGGGAGGGAAAGAGAGCTGGATTGGTGGGAATGGGAGTGGGAATCCTATTCCTCACTCAACAGGTAAAACACCCGAAGAGGATTTTCCTAAATAAAAGGTGGCTATCTGCATCAGACTTGCTGGGGTGCAGGGACAAGAATGCAGATTGCTGGTTTCATGGGTACTGGAGGCCAAAGTGACTTTCAGGCCTGGAGTCAGCCATCCCAGTGTATTTCACAGGCACTGCTGCTAGACATGGTCATCAAACAGGAGTCTCTATTGGGTCAGAAGTTCTCAGCCTGGGGACCATCTGGGCTTCAAAAAGTATCAAATTCTGACTTATTTGGGCTTGAATATGACCTGAGTAGTATTAAGATTTCAAAAACCTCTGTAGATGATTTTTCTTGTGACTGGGATTGAAAACCATTGTTCTGGGCCAGCATGTCTCCAGATAGCAAGTTGTGTCCTAGGGGCAAAACTGACTCCAACTGGGACTTATTGCTTAAGGCCAGAGATTTTGAGGATCTGCTCAGGGATCAAAAGGTAGGCTCTAGGGCTGTATTGCTTGGGAATACACCCCAGCTAATAAATGGGAGAACTTTGGGAAGTTGCTTCATGGATCATAAAAATACATATACTTTGTAGGGTTATTGGGAAGATTAAATGGCTAAGCACCTGACAATTTTTCTGCCAGGTATGGGTTCAAATGGGAAAAAAATGATTAATCAGAATATCTGAGTGTGGACCACGATAAGCTCCCAGACTTTACATGAAAGTCTGGAAAACCTCTGACTTAAGGGATGTCAAGAGCTACTCATCATTTATATAGCTACTCCATCATTTATAATAGAGCCTCACCCATGGCTTTGGTGCGTACACAGGAGTTAGACCCTTGGTTTTTAAACGAAGGCTTTGGTGTGAACATCCTTTTTTCTTTTTTGGTACTGGAGATTGAACTCAGAGGTACTTTACCACTGGGCTACAACCCCAGTCCTTTTTCTTTTTTGAGGGTCTGACTAAGTTGCTAAGGCTGGCCTTCAACTTGTGATCTTCCCACCCGAGCCTCCTGGGTTGTTGGGATCATAGGCAGCTAAACACTGTTTTCATCTACCTGACAGGCTGAGGGTTTGGCTGCAGTCTTTCCATATTCAGTTATGCCTGCTAGAGGACAGACTAGGCCTGGTCACTGCCTCAGATTCAGAGACTGCAGCTTCTCCCTCTTCCTACCCAACACTGGCCACAGACAAGAGGCCCAGTTGACATGTGTATTGGAACGACTTTATTTAAGTACACTGGGCCCCACCAGGCAATGTGGTTTGTGCGAGGCTGTGCGAGGGATGGGCTTGGGCTAAGAGAAGGGGGGTGAGCTGGTTAAGCACACTGCAGTCCGTGGGTTGCCACATCGGTTTCACACACCTGCTTTGGCCCACATCTGGCAGGGGCCTTTGGTCATAGGATGGCGTAGGGAAGAATACTGCCTGGAATCTAGGACTAGGTTGGGACTTGGTGTCACAGGTGAGGGTCCCAGTGAAGACAGGCTCCTCCAGCTTTGTACCATCTGGGTTGAAGGTCTTTGGGCCACTACTAAGGGCCAGGCCTGAGCCCTCCTGGCACTCTGGTCTGGCCCTTTCCTTCCTTCCCTTCCCAAATAGGTCCAAAGATGAGAACAGCACATGATCAACCCAGAGGGGGCATTCCTGCCCTTCAACCTAGTCCCCCTGCTCAGCTAGAGTGCAAAAGGCAACTTGGATAACTGTAGCTTTCCCCAGTCTCAGGGGGACTGTGTCCCAATGCCCCTCCCTTGCAAGGGGCCTCTGCTGAAGAGTGATTCTATCTCCTATTTCAGAAAATCCAACCAGCAACCAGACCGTTGGTTTCAGGGTGGTGAGCAAGTGCAGGAGGGAGGGGAAAAAAAAAAAAGGGCTGGTCGGGGGAGTGTAGCCTTCAATCCCAAAGGGTCCTGAGGCCTATGGATACTGTCAGTTCACCATCAGTAGGGAGTGGCGAGGCCCTGGATGCTACACTAAACCTAGGTGCTGTAAACATTAGTGTGAGCAGGGTGACTAGTAGGCAGGAAGCAGTGAGCCCCCCTCTCCAGTCCCCTTATTGAACATATACTTCAATAAATAAAATTGTTAAGATGGCATTGAAACAAGGATGGATAAGAAGCGAGTAATAGGACCAGAGCCAATAGGCTCCTTAAACTCTCCCAAGACCCTCTGGATGGAACTGGAGCTTGAAGCATTAACTCTGCAGCCAATCAGAGCTGGTCTCTTCAAGTGTCCAGTGTTGTCCTGGTGTATAGGTGGACATGAGGGCTCCCTGCTCTCTCCTTACCCTAGTCTCTATAACCATAATGGAGAGCTTCTCAGCCTCCCAAACCCAAACCGCAACAAAACGAGAAGGACTTAGCCCCAGTCCCAGTCCTCAGTCCATGATCAAGAGGCACCGATAGCAGAATGAGGAGCTAGGGAAGGCAGCAGCTGCTTTGGACCTCAGGGCACCCTGGAGGTGGTGGTAGGGTGGGGCCAGCCCAGCCTAGGCAGGGCAGCAGCAAGATCTCCCTCTGGTGGCAACCAGGGTCCCACACAGCCAAGCAAAGGCCCAGCTGAGAAAGGAAGTGGGGCCTCTGCCAGCACTCTTCCCTGTCAGGGGCCAGTTAGTGGTCAACCCCAGGCCTCAGGCCATCACCATCGTGGGTAGTTCATCGTTCTTTCCGGGCCCAGGGATCCCTGGGCCACACGGCCCTGGCATACGCGCACACACTCGTACCCACACACACTCACACACACAGGCAGTTCCTCGCAAACACTCCGACTCAAGAAAGCGAGTTTTAAAGTGGAGTTAACTTCAGAGAGAGGTGAAGATGATGTCTCAACATTAGAAGGTTTTCCTGTGGATGGATCGGGCACCATCTTCCTCATATTCCTTCTTAGAGACCCACATCTTCTTAAAGGTGTCCAGGGAGGCAAGGATAGATCCCCTGAAGTGGAGGGAATCCAGAGGAACAGTGTGAGACACTGAATTCATGGAGCCAGCTAGTACCCCTGGGGCCAAACGAGATGAGGCCACCCTTTCAAGGACGGGAGTGAGAGTTAATCAATGCTTTTGCTTCCTGTTCCACTCTTATTTCCAGAAAAGCTACTCACCCAATCCATGTAGAGTACAGTCTCTCCTGAGGGGCAGATATCTGCAAAGGTGGGTGGAAAGAGAAATCTGAGACTTCAATACCTCCACCTCCCTTCTACCACTTGTCTCCCCACAGAGGGTAGTGGATGTAATCTATGTAACAGGCTTTAAGCTAGGCTCCTGCTGGACTCTTGATCTCTCTGGAGAGTATTGTGGCTAGCCTGATACTCAATGGGGAAGCAGAGACCATACTCTTTCATTTAGGGTCCCTCCTCAGCAGGCGGTTAACTCCCCTTAGCAGTCACTTAAGATGTTGGACTGTGTACAGGGGAGCCTCCTGGGCAGGAGGTAAGTCAATCAATTTCACTTTCTCTTTTTTAAATTTTTTTTCTTTTTTTTTTGTAGTTGTAGATGGACAGCATGCCTTTATTTTATTTATCTCTATATGGTGCTAAGGATTGAACCCAGTGCCTTACACGTGCTAGGAAAGTGCTCTGCCACTAAGCTATAGCCCCAGCCCAATATCACTTTCTCTTAAAGACTACTTGTGGGGTCTTTAGCAAAGTAGTACCCTGCCACATCTGGGTACTGAACTCCTTTTGAGTGATGAATGAGAATGGGTTCTTCCCTCTAGCAGACCTAGACCTCAGAGTCACTGTGTAAGCTGGGAGCCACCTGGCACTGCTTGTGGAGTCCTGGCAGCCCGAAAACCCTGAGAAGGGCCCAAAGGAGGTCACACCATGTGGCACTCCAGGTTCTTGGAGCCCCAGTTCTACCCAGCCCAACCCCCACCACATTCCTACCCTGATCTTCACGTCTTTTGGAGCCAGTTTCTTTACTTCACTCAGTAGCCTGTCACCAAAACCTGAATGGGCAGAAAAAGAGACTCAGGTAAAAAATTATTGGGTTGTCTGAGCCCAGCAGGATCAGGATGCTTCTTGGGGACCCAAGAGCAAAGACCAACCTTTAAACAGTGTGGAGCCTCCAGAGAGGACAATGTTGGAGAAAAGTGTGCGCCGCAGGTCCATGTCAGACTTCTGAATGGCAAATACCAGGACCTCATGGATGCCCTCGCTCTCCTCACCAATCAAGTCCGGTCTAAACAGCAGTTCAGGAGCCCGGAATCGGGAAGGACCAATCTGCAGAGTGAAGGGCCAACTTAAGAGGCTGGGGCTGGGACCCAAGTTCTTTGAGAGTGTGAATGGAAGAGATGCAGGCTGCCCATCTCTTAGTAAAACTAGGAAGGCCAGGATCAAGACAGACCCTATATGTAAAGGGCCTCAAATAGAGCTTCTGGGAAAACAGAGGAGGAGCTCCTACATTTACTCAATCTTGGGCATTTTTGAGCTCAGAGATTTCTTTCATTCACTCATAGAAATTTATTCATATCAATGGGAGTTCCAGGGAGCGGCAAGTCACCTTATACTTTGTCCAGGACACAGACACTATACTACTTCCCAATCTATCCCGACCTAGGAAAAGCCCCCTGGAGTGTCCTCCTCTCCATACAGAGGGACAAAGTCCCTACTTCTACTCTGTAGGACACAGAAAGCTGATCATGCTGCCTGTGAGTTTCATGTTCTAGGCCCTTGTGGGGAGTTCTGTTTGGGCCCAGAGTTTTTGTGGGTCTTAGGAGAAAGAGGAACGAGGTCTGGTCACTACCTCAATGGTGCTGCCGTCTGGCAGGTAGTACTGAGCCTTCTCCGTCTCTAGCGTCTCATCCTTCTGGGGGTTTATGGACAGGTAGCAGGCTCTCTGCAGAACCAAGCACAGTAATCAGGATGAAAGGGAACCTGGAGCACACAAAGTCCCAGTTCCCAGGGGAGTGGTGTGCTACTGAAGAATCTGGCCATCCACAGTAACTGCCCTAACAGTCCTAAGAGCTGAGCTGCTACCCAGAAGCAGGAGCAGGGAGGTCTCTATCAGCCAGAGCTGGTGGTACTTAGGATATAAAGTCTTCCCTTCCCCTAGCTTCCTGGAGAGCAAGGTTGAAACCTTAGCTCTCTGGTTCCTGGGTCTGAGACAATAATCTAAAATCAGCCCAAGCCCAGACATCTTTCTCCTTCTATTAGTCATGTGGTTCTGGGTCCCTATGGGCTTCCCTAGGGCTGGAGGTGCCAGGAGGGTTCTGTGCACTTAAAGTGTATTCTGGCTTCTCCAAAAAGGACCCATGAAGTATGTAGGGAAGGGGCACCTGTGCACCTGGCTTAAGGAGAGAGCTCCCTCTCCTCCACAAGATAGCAGTATTCAGAAAAGTGAATCTGTCAGTGAGAGGGGCCCAAGTGATCACACAGCTGCCAGCAGGCCTGGTTGGGAACAGAGTCTAACCCAGGACCCCCAGTAGGAGCTTCATCCCTCTTCACTCATGGGCAGCACTCACTTCTTTTATGGCTTTGACAATCTCAAACTCGGAGGATGAGTGGAAATCATAGCCCTCCTTACGCAGGTAGAGGCGAAGGAAGCGAGAGACATCTCGTCCAGCGATGTCGATGCGCATGATTGAGTGAGGCATGGCGAAGCCCTCATAAATGGGCACAGCATGGGTGACACCATCCCCAGAATCCAGCACAACCCCTGTAGTCCTGCCCGTGGCATAACTGAAGCAAAAGGGGCAAACCATCATTGATCTCTGCTTTCTCATGCTGGAAAACCCACTTCTTTTAGAGTTCAGTGTCAGCTAAACTAAAGTTTGGGCCTTTCTCCTGGGCCTTTAGAATGGATGGAGTACTAGGGAAGCCTTGACATACCTGAATGAAGGAAGGAGCTGAGCTTCTCCAAGCTCCCTCCCCAACTCCCTGAAGAGCAGTGTGAGGAGACAGTCTGGTCTTCAACTGCTCCACAGACCCAGTCTAAGGGGTGGTTTTAATTTACTAGATAAAGAGGAAAAATCTTAAATGCCTACAGGGGCCAGGAGGAAAAGTATATGAGTAAAGGAAAATAAGTATGTTTTCTCATTTATACTAGGGATTGAACCCAGGCATGTTTTACCACTGAGCCCCAGCCCCAGCCCTTTTTATTTTTCAGTTTGAGGCAGGGTTCAGGGCTTCACTAAGTTGCTGAGGTGGTTCTTCAACTTGAGATCCTCCTACCTCAGCCTCCTGAGTGGCTGGGATTACAGGCATACACCACTGCACCCAATTCTGTTTTGTATTAGAACTATTTTTTTTCTTCGCATGATTTTGGTCTAAACTTCTCTCTTTCAGTAGAGATAAGGGTTCAGATACACAGCAATGAACACTTCTTCAGTATTGGAAGGACAATAGGGAATGAAGTGGGCTGTGGTTAAGTCAGCTTGTAACTCTATTTGCTATGGCAGATGCTCCCAGCTCCAGCTGATTTTTGCCCTTTGGGAATGCAGGCCAGCATCATCAGATCTTCCAATTTCTTCAGAGAAGTCAAAACTCTGGATCTTAAGCTCCTGGCTTTTTTTTTTGTTGTTACCAAGAATTAAACTCAGTACTGCTGAGCTACATTCCAGCCCTTTTTATTTATTTTTTAGTTCAGGTAGGGTCTCACTAAGTTGCTAAGGGCCTCACTAGGTTGCTGGCTTTGAACTTGTGATCCTCCAGACCTAGCCTCCTGAGTCACTGGGATTACAGGTGTGGATCACTTTGCCTATCAGAAATCTGTTTTTAAATGGTGGCTGACAATGTTTTAAATTATCTGTGCAAGCTGCCAGCCTATCATCTCTTCAGTAGGCAGAGGCAGGTGTGAGGCAGAATGAGAGTGTAATAGGAATGATGGAGTGTAAGAACAGAGGCCAAGGTGGTGTTTCAATCGAGACTGTATCAGCAGCCTAGCAGAACACTGAACACACAGCACTAATAAATACTTGACCACATTAAGGGGCTTTTGGGTAGGGCTATAGCAGTGTGTGTCCTTCTGAGAAGGCAGAGGAGAGCCTTGTGTGGCAAACTCACCGAGAGTTCTGGGACTGGGATACAGTCTCAACACCAGCCATCTCTTTTCTTTTTATTTCAACCGAGAAGGCTCAATGTCCAATTTCAGCAAATCTCGTCCTTTCCCACTATTTTCAGCCCTTCCCAGGGGTGAGTGGGGCTCAAGTGACTCTGCACCAAGCTAAAGGAGAGGCAGCCTTGATTGGGCCAAAGGACTGCTTTCTCCCTTAGAGGCCAGGCTAGCCAGCCAGGCTGCTACTCACAGGCTAAGCACAGCTTGCATGGAGATGAAAAGAGCTGGCACATTGAAGGTCTCGAAGAAAACTTCAGCAGCTCGTTCTCGGTTTTTCCGTGGGTTTAAAGGTGCCTCTGTCAGGAGCACAGGATGCTGGTGAAAAGAAACCCAGGAGGCAATCAGTGGGAGGTCAAGCTTCCATTCTCTTGAGTACTTTGGGAGAAGCCCCTGACTGGATGGTTTGAGAGCCTAGCCTCCCTTCAAAAATAGGCAAACTGAGCCTGTCAGCAAGTCCTGCCTAAGTTGATCTCTCAACTTTTCCAATTTGTGACCCCCTCTAAAGTCTCATTTTGTCCTCACTCTTCAAGATTCTTCCATGGGTCCTTGTATCTACAGTATATCTCATATTATCAAGAATAAGATTTTGTTATTAAATTCTGAATTGCTAGGATAAAAATAATAGTTAAACATTCTTCCCCTATAAACTAAATATATCCTCCTTTACATCCTCGAATTGAGAGTTACTTCTTTGGAAGTTAATGATCCCAGGACAGGTTCTGGATTCTGAAAGATGACACCCAATTCTACCACTTTCTTTACTGGGTGATTTTCTTTTTTGGTACTTGGGATTGAACTTAGGGGCACTTAACCATGGAGCCACATCCCAGCCTTTTTTGTATTTTATTTTGAGACAGGGTCTCATTGAGTTGCCTAGAGCCTTTCTAAGTTGCTGAGGCTGGCTTTGAACTCGTGATCCTCCTGTCTCAGCCTCTCGAACCATTGGGATTACAGGTGTGCACCTGCACCTGGCTTCACTGGGTGATCTTGAAAATATTACTCGGCTTTCCCGAACTTCTGTTCTCTTGTTTGTAAAATAAATATAATACTACCTATAACTTATAGGAATAGTTTGAAGATTAAATCTGAATATATCTGAAAAGCTCGTGGCCTGGTGCTCTTCGCAGTGATCATCATCCTCATCATCTCTGGGTTAGGGGTTCTGTCAAATTTGTATACTGCATGGGGGTGCCCTGTACACAGGACCCTCACCTCCTCTGAGAAAGTCTGCAGCTGGTCCTTAGAATAAACATATTGCCAGATGCGCTCCATGTCATTCCAGTCCTTGACAATGCCATGTTCCATGGGGTAGCGGATTGACAGCAGCCCTCGGTGCTCCTGTGGGCAAAGGGCAGGACTTACAGCAGCAGTCAGGCTCTGCCCAAGATCCTGCTCTCCCAGAGCTGTGCAGCTTCCATCACTTCCAAAGGAGCCCAGCTTCCTAAGCTCCCATTCTCAAGAACTCACCCAAGCTAATTGGGAGCAGGCACCCAATCTCTAAGTCCTTAGACTGTATGCTACACAGGCAGCTGTACAAAAGAGGGCTTCTGAACTTCAATGGGCCCTCAGGTGCTCTAGGGCAAGGGATAGGAGGCACCTTCCTCATTGCCTGATTCCAGGACATGATCTTCTGGCTCCCACCCATCACCTCAGTTCTTGAAGCCAAAATTGGCAACAATGATTCTGTTGTTGTGCTTACTAGATGCTGCCTGAGGGGCTCTGCCAAAACTGTGTTAATTAACTCATCCCTGAGGTATGCCAGACAGGATCTCCCCACTGAATCCCCTTTGCCAAAAAAATAACCAAGCTAGTCAATTTGATCACTGGTAAGGCAGTAAAGAAAAGCAAAAATCCCTGTTTTCTGGATTGTCTATTCTCAAAGTGGGGTTCCAGACATTATTCTTCAAGACCAGAGACTACTCCCGGGACAAAGAAACTGCCTAGGCCTAGAATGAAAGGATCAAAAAGAAGATTCCAAGAGAAAATTATTCCTTTACTTGTGGCTGTGTCCAACAAGACACTTCCCATGGGATATATAATGAAAGTCTTTTGCTGCCTTGGGGCTTCTTTTGTGGGGCTGGGAATTACCTCAGCTTTGGGGCCAATGAAGATATCACCTTCTAGGGCTCCTGCCATGACACGAACATGCTTGGGTCTTCCCACACTAGAAAAAACAGCAGAACACAAGAAAGACATACATAGAGATGAATACAGATACCTAAATTCTACTGTGCTTATCTTCAAGGCATGAAAGTACCGTTGATTTTGATTTCTTTCTTTTTATTTTTCTGTATTTTCTATAATTTCTACAAAGAACATTGTATTATTTTAAGTTATTTATATATTATTTCATATTTTTATTGTGTTTATATTATTTCATAAATTATTAAAACAAATTTTAGAGGTTTCAATACCTTTAGTTCTTCTTTTTCCCCAATGTGTGTGCAGACCAAGAGAAATAAGGAAGCAACAATTTATAAATTAACGGTTAACTCAGAAAATTTAGGGGCTGGTCAGGCACAGTGGTGTACACCTGTAATCCCAGCTAGTTGGGAGGCTGAGGCAGGCAATCACAAGTTTGAGGCCAGCCTAGGCAAAATAGTGAAACCGTGCCTCAAAATGAAATAAAAAGGGCTTGGGCTGGGGTTGTGGCTCAGTGGTAGAGTGCTTGCCTAGCACACAAGAGGCACTGGGTTCGATCTACAACACTACATTAAAAAATAAATTAAAATATATATATATATTAATTGTAAAAAAAAAAAAAAAGGACTGGGAATATAAATATAGCTCAGTGTCCTTGGGTTCAATCCCCAGTACCATAAAAAGAAAAAAAGTTCAGGAATTAGGGTGTAGCTCAGTGGTAGAATATTTGCCTAGTGTGAGCGAGGCCCTGAGTTTGATCCCTGGCATCAGACACATACACACACTAAAAAAAAAAAAAAAAAAAGTTTTGACTCCTTAGCTCCCTTCCCAGGACTTCTACTAAGTGAGACTGTGATATGTGATGATGGCACTTGGAGGCACAATCTTTTTTTTTTCTAGTTAGAGCCCTTCCCTAGGCCTCCATGCCATTTCCTGCCTGCAGTCTGAATCTCAGGAGGCAACCTCTGAGAAACATTCTCATTAAGATGGCAGGTATGGTTTAATGTTACATCCCATCCTGGGCAACAAAGTTTAAAGGGGGCATTTTAGCTTGTTGTGATGGCATGAACTTTAGTCCCAGCAACACAGGAAGCTGAGGAAGGAGGATCTCTTGAACCTAGGAATTCAAACTGAGCAACATAACAAAAACTCCATCAAGGGAAAAAAAAAAAAAGGCTCTATAAAGATGAAATCATCAATCAATGAGTTACCAATGATAGAATTTATAGCAACAGATAAAATCATATTTCAAAAAAGAGGCCTCTTTCCTGTGCCCATCAAATTGTACTAGATAGTAAACTGTTTGCTTACTCCAAATTCAACTCCTATCCCTTGATTGCTATTGTTTTGAGCACCAGGGCTGACCTGATAGTGTTCCTCTTCCTACAGGAGGGCTGACCCCATGACAAAGTTGATGAGACTCCCAGAATCCTGACAGAGTAATGGAATGACTTACTAGTTTGGAAAGCAGTATTTGGGGATTTGATCACCAGCAAAACCAGCTTTAATCACACCGGATCCCTTAGGAGAAAGAAGAAAGAGAAGTCAGAATGATCATTAAACCAAGAGAAGATATGCATTATATGGTTTCATTTATTAAAAAAAAAAAAGAGAGAGAGAGACAGAGACCTTATATTTGAATTTAATATATACATCTGCATATGCCTAGAAAAGGTGAATCCACACCTAGCAAGGGACATGACATTGGAAGGAGTGATGTGCAAAAGTTCCACTGCACACTCCTATTGTTTAGCACAAGTCTTTTCTACATACTTTGGGAACTGAAAAGAATATTACAGGTTTTTTTTTTTTGAAAATGTAAAACTTTTAATAGCACATTGAGTATATTCAAATGGAAAAAGAAGATTCATTGATAAATGATAAAATTATGAAATATCCTTCTCTTTTTTCTTTTCTTTTCTTTTTTTTCCTTCTCTTGATACATTTAGCATTTGCATTTTTTCTTCTCTAATACACCCTGCCACCTTTCCCCTGTATATTTCTATTACTTTCCCATCTGTTCCATGGACAGATTCCTTCCTCCCTCCTCAATAATATAGAAACTTCACCCCCAGGCAAACTATGATGTTGTATTTGTCGATTTTCTAGATATATGTTGGCATGATACATACAGTTTTTGAATATACTTTGGGAACTGAAAAGAATATTAATAAATGAAAGAAAAAGAAAACTAAGAAGAGACAAGTGCCTAGAAGCACCAAAGCAGCTGGTTCAGGAACAAAACTGAGGTGAAAAGCATGTGATTCTTTCTAGCACAGGATGCTTAACACCCCACTTCCGCTCAGGCCCATACTCTCCCTGTCTCCCTGACCTCAGAACCCATCCCACCATGAGCATCATCATACTTGCAGCTGACTCCACATTGTTTAAACACGGTGCTTATGGGTATTTTGTTATTATTTTATTATTTAGGGAAGCCCTAAAGCCTTGTCTGAGAATAGGAGACGAGGTCCACAATCCTGCTATTCCAAAATGTTGTACTCTTGAGTGTTGTGCTGTATTGTATTGTCGTATATGTTTGGTGGGGTGTCCAGAAAAAAATCCAAGTTTTTCAACCAACATACCTTCCAGGGCCCAACCAATGTAAACATTGACTCTATAGACACAGATACCAACCCCTCTGCAAGACAGATGTTGAGACAGGATATTCCTTGCAGATACACCCTGTTCTTTCTTAACTCTTCTATTACTATACCTGAAACCCTCACCCTTTATCATTTGCAGCTGCATGCATAACAGCGGCAAGGCCTTGTAGCTTAGGCAAGCTTTATATTAAGCACTTTTGACTATTTTTGATAGGCTGGCATGGAAAGTGATTCTTCCAGAACCCACACAGCAGACAGTAAACACATCAGGAGATGTTAAATAGCCAATATTATCTTTGCACAAAGGCTCCCAGCAACACACGTGGATTCCTCCCTGTCTCTGATTCCTGCTTGTCTACAGGGGTAGGGGAATGAGACTGGCCATCCAGGTATCTGCCTCTGACAAAAAAAAAAATAGGGGTGAGTATAGTGAGAGCTGGTAAAAGGCCAGGGAAAGTGGTATGTGGGGAGAATAGGATCAACCAGTTTTCTGAGGAAACAGGAACCTCTGCTGGCATAAGAGAGAGAAAATAGGAGACAATGTGCAAACTCAGTGGCCTGGGCAGTACAGCAAGGAGCCAGGAAATGTGCAGCTATAAACTGAGCTGAAAGATGGAGAAGGAGGGGGAACTTTCCTATTTCAAACTCCAGGGCTCTGAGACTGTGGTAGGATAGGCAGGAACAGCACTGTGCAAGAGGACCCTGGGAATTTGTTAGTTCAAGCTTCCAATGATTGCTCACTGCCTTCACCTGGGTGTTGTGTCATCAAACTGGATCTCCAGGCAGGGATTGAAAAAAATAGAGAAATAAAAATGAGACCTATTTCAGACCTGAATTGTGTGTGTGTGTGTGTGTGTGTGTGTATGTGGGGGGTGTACTAGAGATTGAACCCAGGATCCAGGGGGCACTCTACCATTTACCTATATCCCCAACCCTTTTAATTTGTTGCCCAGGCTGGCTTCAAACTTGCAATCCTCTTGCCTCGGCCTTCTGAGTGTCTGGGATTACAGACACATGCCACCCTGTCCAGCCAGAACTTGGACATTTTTAAAAGATGATTGTCGGTGAAGTTGATTATTTTCTTCTCACGATCTTGCAGCAAATCACTATTACCTAAACCATGAAGTAGCAAGCATCTCTTTCTGCTTTCTATAAAGGGTTTAAGGTTTCCATTTTTGTCTTTCCCTAGTCTAAGTTCCTTGAGATCAGAGATTCACAGTATGGTCATTTGCTGGGTACTCAACAGATGCTGGCTGACTAAAGTTAAAATCAAGTGCAAATAATTGGCAGAGGAGAGCTACAAGAGGGAACCTGAATGGCAGCTGGATGCCAGCAGCAGCCCCAGGCAGAGGTGGTACAGAAAAGGCAAAAGCTGTGCTGGGAATGATGTACAGGGAAGAACCAGACTCAACTTGTCCCAGTGGCCTCCAGTGGGCATGCCAGGCCAGTAGTTGGGTGAAGGATCAGTGGGGAGGGGAGGCGGCTCAGCTGCTTAGTTCTGCTCAAGCCACAGAGCAAAGGCATAGAAAATAGTCATATCCATTTCTTTTCTTTTCTTTCTTTCTTTTTTTTTTTTTTTTAATATTTACTTTTTAGTTCTCGGCGGACACAACATCTTTGTTGGTATGTGGTGCTGAGGATCGAACCCGGGCCGCACGCATGCCAGGCGAGCGCGCTACCGCTTGAGCCACATCCCCAGCCCTCTTTTTTTTTTTTTTTTGGTACCAGGAATTGAACCCAGGAGTGCTTAGCTCCCAAGTCATATCCCCAGCCTTTTTCAGTATTTTATTAGAGACAGGGTCTCACTTAGTTGCTTAGTTGCTGAGACTGTGTTTGAACTCTCCAATCCTCCTTCCTCATCAGCCTCTTGAATGGCTGAGATTACAGGCATGTGCCACTGTGCCGGGCAACATCCATTTCTTTAACAGGAACCGTGTACCTGGCAAATGAGCCGCTACTTTCTTTGTTATTCAGTTTAGCAAAGCCTAGTGAACAAATGCCTTGTAGAGGCTTCTTGAAAAAGTAGTCTCGTTAACTATTTGATGTATAAGGACTCAAGTCTGTTGCCAGTCACCACTGTTCTCCTTAGTGTGTAGGCAAACAAAGAACTCCCTCAGAATGGCTCTTAGAGTACCTGCTGGCTGTAGACGTTGTGGCTTGGGTGAACTTTATACTAAGAACTTCTGATTACACTTGATGATCTGGGAAAGAGACTTGTTAACTCTCATTTTATGTGTGAGAAAAGGATGTTGGGAGAGGTGGGGCCACAGATTCTAGGACACAAATTGTTAACTAGTGGTTCATTTTGGCCCAAGACATATTTTGTTGATCCATAAAAATAAAAATATATACTATTATATATATGTACACACACACACACGCACTATATATATATATATATATATATATTTTTTTCTTTTTAAACAAATTTACTGCTGGGTTCCTATAACCCCAGAGACTGAGGAGGCTGAAGCAGGAGGACCACAAGTTCAAGGCCAACCTGGGCAACTTAGTGAGACCCTGTCTTAAAAAAAAAAAAGTATCAAAGAGGGAAGGGTGGTAGAAATGTAGTTGAAAAGACTGGCCAAGAGTAGGTAACTTTTTTTTTTGGCACTAGGAATTGAACCCAGGAACATTTGACCATCAAACCACATCCCCAGCCTTTCTTTTATATTTTATTTAGAAACAGAGTTTTGCTAAATTGCTTAGGGCCTTGCTAAGTTGCTGAGGGTGGCTTTGAACTTGCAATCCTCCTGCCTCAGCCTCTGGTAGTACAGGCATGTGCCACCACCCAGGCAAGAAATAGATAACTTACAGCTGGGTGACAGATCTGTGGATGATCATTATACTATTCTGTCTCCTTTTTGTATGTTTGAATTTTGCTGTAATAAAAAGAACTTACAAAATGATAGCCCTTAAGTAGAATTTCAAAACACAAATACTAAATGTGTATAAATGCACAATACACAAAATATATGTCCATAAAGTCATAGATAAAAGGAACAAATTGATTTTACAGTGATGGTTGCTTCTGGAACAGAAAGACAGGCTGGGATTAGGGAGTGGTACTAAAGAGGCTTCGATTTTACCTAAAATGTTTTATTTCCTAAAAACAATTCTGAAGTAAATATAGCAAAATGTCAACATTTATTAAAATGGTGGTAGACACTTGCTACATGGGTGCTTGCTACACATGTCTGAACTTTTCTATATATATAAAGTATTCTATTTTTTTAAAAAAAGGGAACTGAAGCAGGACAATATCCAAAAAAGCAAAACAGTGGGGTGGAGAATACTGCGCCTGCATTTAGGTCCACACAGTCACAGTCTTTTTTAATATGTTTATTTTGTTTATTATTTTTATGTGGTGCTGAGGATCAAACCCAGTGCCTCACAAGTGCGAGGCAAGCGCTCTGCCACTGAGCCACAACCCCAGCCCATGTCACAGTTTTAAGACTGATAAGAATGTTGATCCATTTTAGGACAGAACTATAACCTCTGAGATCTTAGCAAATTTTTGAGTTTTAAAATAAATGTAGTAGCTAACCAAAGTGGCATGGCAGCTGTTTTTCTCTTATATGATTGTCTATGACATCTTCAGAAATTATTTTTTATATTTAGTTTTTCAAAATAATTATCGCTTTAGCATTTTTATTAAAGCACCCACCATCCTCTAGTCTGCCATTTTCCTCATTAAATTCTGATGAAATGGTCTGATGTCAGAGTAGAAATGAAAGGAGTGGTCACAACTGTCTTAAGACTGGGAAAGGCTGTGAACCAATAATGGGGCTCTTCACTCTTTTTCTTGCTTTCTTTGTCTTCCTTCCCTTTAATTACTTTCCTAGCCCAAAAATAAAATTGGAAAATTTTAAGCTAGGGAGTTGTTAAATCTACTAATGACACATTATTCTCATTCTATAAAGTTAGCTCAAATATTTCAAATGATTTTTCCTATCTTTCATCTTAAAAATAAAAACAAAATCCTCTAAATGCCAAACAGCAAGGACTATCTGAAGTCCCAAATCTAAAAATGTGGCAGAAATATTCAGCAAATCCTAATGGGAAAAATGACTTAAGTTTCTCCTACTTCACTTTTAGGCAGAATTACAGGCATAATAAAGAAAATATTTTTCCAAAGGAAAGACAAGTCAATTCTTTAAATCTTGAAACGAAAGATGCACCACTGCTTTGCTACCAAATATAAAGTCATGGGGGATTGGTTCCAGGACTCCCTCTCCCAGACACCTGAATCCTTAAATAGATGCTCAAGTCACTTATATAAAATGGCACAAGAGGCTGACATGCTTGTGTATACTTGTAATCCCATGAATTTGGGAGTCTGAGGAAGTAGGATTGTAAATTCAAGTCCAGCTTGGCAACTTGGCAAGACCCAACCCAAAACAACAAACAAACAAACAAATAAAAAATACTTTTTAATAATTTTAGATCATTATTATTTTGGTACCAGGGATTAAACTCAGAGGCACTAGACCACTGAGCCACATCCCCAGCCCTATTTTGTATTTTATTTAGAGACAGGGTTTCACTGAAGCTGCTGGCTTTGAACTCTGCCTCAGCCTCTTGAGCTGCTGGGATTACACGCATGCATCACAGTGCATGGCTAGATTATTTGTAATACCTAATTGTATGTGTGAATACTGCTAGGTATTTGTTTAGGGGATAATAACAAGACCTTAAAAGTCTGTACTTGTTTGGTACAGGTGCAATTTAAAATTATATATTATTACTTTATTTTTTTTTAATTTATTTTTGGTGTTGAGGATTGAACCCAGTGCCTCATATATGCTAGGCAAGTGCTCTCCCACTGAGCCACAACCCCACCCCCTAAAAAGAAATATTTTTGACCTACTGTTGGTGAATACAAGAATTTGGAACCTTGGATCTGGAGGGTCAATTGTACTATCAAGAAAATGAAAGATGGGCTGGGGATTTGGCTCAAGCGTTAGCGCACCTGCCTGGCATGTGTGCGGCCCGGGTTCGATCCTCAGCACCACATACAAACAAATATGTTGTGTCTGCTGAAAACTAAAAAAAATAAATATTTAAAAAAAAAGAAAGTGAAAGATGAATCTAAGAGGCATTAGCTTCAGTAACATTAAGGAAAATGGCTGGAGATGGAACTCCTGACCAACAATTCAAGAAGCAAAGGAACTAAATGGGATGGGCAGACTGCTCCTTTTGATATTACTAATGACAACAGGAAATTGATAATTCTGTATATTTTTCTTTCTATAACTATGAAAAGGTTAGATAAAGGACGCAAAGATTAGCTAAAGGCAGAAACAGTAGTTTCCTCTGAAAATAAATACCAAGAACAAGGAGTCCTATGCAATTCTCTACAGTTGAATAAATTCAAGTTGAATAACTAACCAAGGGAAACCCCTCATTCTTTCTTTACATAGGGACATTTTTGTTACTATGATAGAGACATTCAGTCATTCATCTAGTCCCCCATCAAACCAATGAAAAGTCTTCATTGAGGATGTTGTGGTGCCAGGCTGTAGGTATTGTATGTATAAAGTGGGTGGGTAATGGGAGACTAATAAAAAATAAAGCAATATCACCTCTTCCCATAAAGTCTTAACAGTCTAGTGAGGAAGACAACAATAATAACAACAAAAAATCCTGTAAAAAATGAGATGTTTCATGAAGTTCAACCTTGTCTTTTTAAAGGCAAAAGTCATACCCTTGAAGAAAAGCTAACAACAAATAAAGCATCTTTCCTTGGAAAAAGTGAGCAACTTGGAACCAGATCTCAGTCTGAGTCTTGGCTCCTCAACTCCTACACCAGGAGGTTCGGATAATCTCTCGAAGACTTACATCCCTGTGTAGACCGAAACTGGGGAAAGTAATTGCCATCTACCTACCAGAGCTAAGCTTAAACAAGATTATGCAAAAGATATGTTATATGCCCAAGAGCCCAAGGGCTGGACCAACATAGTGAATCTGATAAGAATCAGCCCAGGATGCAAGGAACTGATAGTTTGCATCAAAGTAAGGACCCAGAAGAGGAGTGGAAAGGTAACACCACTCTAGGTAGTATCAAATTTTTGAATGAAATACAGAAATGGAAGATAACTGTCCCTCTACCCTTTAAATAAAACCAGTATTTAGGTTCTTTACATTTATCATTATTGATGCGCTGCATGGGTGGTGCTAGCAATAAGAATGACGAATAAAGCACTGGATTTAGGACATCTCTACTGTGACCTTGGGCTCACTTCTAGCTTCAGTTTTCTCATCTGTGAAATGAAACTTCCTTCTTAATTATCTACCCAGTTTTTGTGAGGATCCAACTCGAATGCAGGTGAAAGCCTCCTGGAAGCGGCAAAGCGCCTGGCAAACACTAAGTATTATGTTTGATAATTTCTCCATCCTAGTTACTAGGCATTCTGAAGAGGAAAGCATCCCCTCGCTTGCTTTGTCATTCTCCTTTCTTCTCGACCTTTATTAACTACCATTTATAATTACAGAAATAACTGAAATCCTATGGTCGTTTGGGGCACCAGATTCTCGGGCTCCACCCAGATACAGCCCACCACAGCAACCCACCCTCCGGCACCCAAGGAAACTTAAGACCTTCTACACCCGCAGGCGGGCCCTAGCCCCACCACCCGAATCCCCAAGCCAATCCCCACAGCCCTAGTGCAGCGCTCCGCCCCTTAGAGAGGTGGAAACACTATGGCGGCTGCAAGAAGGACAAGCGCGCGAGCCAATAACTACAGCGCGTTGCCCTCATCCGGCAAGGCCCAGAGGCGGGAATCATCGGCCAAGATAGACAACCAGAGCAGCCAATAGAGTGATCGAAATCTGTTACTGGGCGGGCTCCAGGAGCTCACAGAGCTGTTAAGGCCCCTCGAGTCAAGGGCCCAAGGACCCCGCTCAGACTACAGCTTTTCCCTTTATTCACTCCAAAGTTTTCCATCCCACGGTTTCTGGCCGGCCCCCCAGCCTGCAGAGTCAGAGAGGGCGGAGGCGGCGGCAGCTGAACCTGCCTGACAGGCCGGGCCAGTGACAAAGAGCCGGCGGCCCAGACTGAAATCCGGGAAGCGATCCTTTCGGGAAGCAGACCACGAGTCCCTTTAGAAATAGCAAAGACAACTCACGTTGTCGATCACAACAGGCTGGTTGGCGATCACATCGTAGGACTCCATGGCAGAGGAATCTCTCCTTCCGAGGAAGGAACTGCCAGCCGGGTCAGCCGCTAACGCCAGAGACACGCATGCGCAGTCTAGCCGCCGGTACAAGGCGTTCAGGGAGCGGCCCGACCTCGCCTTCAAAGCACTACAATCCCCAGCATGCATCGTTCCAGGGTTAGCGCTCCAGCTTGCGCTGGGGCCCCGCCTAGTTTAAGAGACTGAGTGTCGCATTTCCGAAGCACGGTGTCCTGGGCTTCGTAGTACCAATAGGTTAGAGAAATGAGGTAATGGTTGTGTTGCACTCCTGGATCTGTAGTCCCTTTGAAGGAGTTCACAATGCATGCTTAAGTATGTAGTCTTCTCGACTACATGCGTGTAGTTGGGTTTGGATTCTACAAATCAGTCTTAGCACTCCTCATCCACCCCTTTTTAAATAATCATTTTATTGTAAGGGGATTGAACTCAGGGGAACTTTACCACTGGGCTACAGCCTCAGTTCGCCCCAGCCCTCCGCTTTATTATTATTATTATTAATTATTATTATTGTGTGTGTGTGTGTGTGTGTGTGTGTGTGTGTGTGTGCTGGAGACTGAACCCAGGGCCTGTGCATGCAAGGCAAGCTCTCTATCAACTGAGCTATATCCCCAGCCCGTCCCCAGCTTTTTGAGACAGACTTTCCCTAAGTTGATTAGCGCCTCACTAAGTTGCTGAGCCTGGCCTCGAATTTGTGATCCTCCAGCCTCAGTCTCCGGAGTCGGTGGGATAACGGGTTCCCACTCCCCGCTCCTCATCCCTTCTTTTGGACAATTTTAGGTTTCTGTATTTTTATTTGGGTATATAAGTATATAACATCTCCTAGTGAAGTGGCACCCCCTTTCTCCACAGAAAAGCCCTCTTCACCATGGCTAATTTTAGGACTGTCAGCAAAAGAATCCACTATAGATAAACTTCCTATTTTCTCCTCACCCTGTTTACTTTGCCACTGGCGGAGAAGATACCAGCACTCCAGGTGCTGGACACCCCCTTATTAGTTTTCACAAACGTATCCAGTATAGTACTTTAAAGAAATATGCAAACAAGACCTCTGGCCTTGAGCTGGGCTTCACAGAGATGTCTACATTTTTAAGATAAGTTACAAATGTGCCCATGGTAACAGCTGGCAGGGGGAGGAAAGATAGGGGAGGTAAAGCTCTTCCCTTCTCAGGTGTTGTCCTTGAAGAGTTAACTTGCCCAGAACAGTGAAAGCAAAAGCTGCTTTTATGTGAACTACTTCTGAGCCCCTCCCCTTACACACTGGGTATAAAACTCTGAAACTCCCTGAACTTGGGGTTCAGGGGATTGATTGATTACAGCAAAGGCTGTACCCTCTGAACCTGGCTGCAGCCAAATAAAACTGTTTCCTGCTATCTTCGGTACCTTGCCTCGTTTGCCCCTACAACACTAGTATCTTACACTCAAAGGAAATTCTAAGAAACAAACAAACACGGAGGAAAAACATATTCCTTAAACAAAGAAAAATATAGGGCATAAGAAAAAGAAAAAAAAAAAGAACATTATACATGTCACTTTTTTTCACACTTCTTCCTGAATAGGGGTACACTTTGTAACAGGCAAACATTGTCTGAGTTGTTGTTTTGTTTTAGTACCAAGGATTGAACTAAGGGGCACTAAACCACTGAAGCACATCTCCAGCCTTTTTTTTTTTTATTTTTTGAGACAGAGCCTCTCTAAGTTGTTGAGGTTGGCTTTGAACTTGTCATCTTTCTGCCTTCTCCTCCCCAACGGCTGGGTTTACAGGCATATGTCATGGGGTTCGATTTTTATGTGTTTTGTCTTTTTTTTTTTTTTTTTGGTACCAGGGATTGAAAGTAGAGGGCACATTTTAATCACTGAGCCACATTCCCCAGCCATTTTTCATTTATGTATTTTAAAAACTTTTTAGAAATTTTTAGTTGTTGAGAGACCTTTGTTTATATGTGGAGCTGAGAATTGACTCACACATGCCAGGCAAGCATGCTACTGCTGAGCCACAGCCCTAGCCACTTAGCTTTAAATTTTGAAACAGGGTCTTTTAAGTAGACCTTAAGGCAAATTGTTGAGGCTGGCTTTGAATTTGTGATCCTCCATGCCTCACTCTTCTGGAGTCGCAGGAATTACAGGGTGCACCACCAGCACGCACAGCTAGGGCTTGCATTTGAAACTACCGGTAGGATGACTAAAACTTCGTCTAAGGGTTTGGAAACTACACCAATATCTCTTTAATTTTTATGAGTTGGATTGACCCTGATGGGTGAGAAAATGGAGGTGAAAAGAAGTTATGTGTCCAATGTTTTCAAAAGAGCCTACTTCATTTTTCTCTGGATTATTCTTCCTTTCAAGTTGCAGGGGTTCTTTTATCAGTAGCATTAGTGAATATTAAGCTTTATAATCTATAACAAGCCAAGGCCAGAGAGGCCCTAGGTATGATCCCCAGCATTGGGAAAAAAAAAATCTGTTAACACTAATGCCAAACGAACGAATGCACCAATCCATTTTAGATTTGTGTTTAAATTGTCAGCAGGCATGTCAGCAAAACAGTGACAAGCACTTTGTCGAAGCATTTCCCAGTGCTTTCGTGGGACCTTAGCACTTGTAAAAGATGCTTCATCCCTATTTAAACCAGGGTTCCTCCTAACACTAGGGGGAGACCAAGAGCCTTGGGATATAGGGATAGGGAGGCGGAGCTTGTTGTCAATTCACGCCTTCCCCACCTGTGATTGGCAAAAACATTAGCCAATAGGTTCCAGGACAGGGCGCGCCGCGCCCCGCCCCCTCGAGCTCCCTGCGGCCCCGAGGCACCCTCTGGCAGACTCCGAGGCGGCGAAAGCTTGGGCGGACTGTGCACGGTGCGCAGGCGCGGAGCTAGACCTCGCTGCAGCCCCCGTCGCCACCGGGAGTCGCACCCACCGAGTCAGCCCTCTGGCGGGTCAGTACGCTCGCCCTCCTCCGCCCTCCCAGGTTTCCACAGTGCCCTACGCACCCAGATGGCGGAGCTGCGGCCTAGCGGCGCCCCCGGCCCCACCGCGCCCCCGGCCCCTGGCCCTACTGCCCCTCCGGCCTTCGCCTCGCTCTTCCCCCCGGGACTGCACGCCATCTACGGAGAGTGCCGCCGCCTTTACCCTGACCAGCCGAACCCCCTCCAGGTTACCGCTATCGTCAAGTACTGGTATGCCCAGGGCCGCGGGGAGGACAGTGGCGGGCTGGGAAGGCTTAGAGCGCCGGGAGCGAAGTAATTTGCGGGAGTGGGAGGAGGTGGAGGGGAGGTGAATGGTTAAGGCACTTGGAAAGAGGGCTTCCTGCTGCGAGAGAATGAGTTAAGGCCGAAGTTAGGAATGGGGACAAAGGGGTTAACGGAACCTGTGGGTAGAGAAGGGTTAACCGAGATTAAGAGAACAGAGTGAGACCGGGGTGTGTGTGTTGGAGCAGAGGGGGAACGGTATGAGAGGGAATTGGAAACTTGGTGAAAGGAGGGGGCACCTTTAGGGGGTCATTAGTGGGCGAGGGGAAGCCAAGGGGGGCGGCTGAAGTGGGATGGGGGAGGCGAGGCGGGGCCTGGGGAGCATATTAGAGGGCTCTGGAGGAGGGAGGCTGGAGAAGCTCACACTGCATGGGCTAGGAGCGAGTCTGGGGGTCCTGGGACTGTCTTTGGGTTACAAGCGGAGCAAGATGAGAGCGCTGTTCTTGTAAGGAGATGAAGAGGAGGTCTCCTTTTGATACCTTCGGGATGAACTCCGGAGTCTATCAATGCAAAGCTGTTGCTTTTGAGTTTGATGGAGCAACTCTTCCTGATAAACTTTTTGCTTACTCTGCACAGTTTTCTTTCTCTCTGCAGAACTTCCTTTTGGCTTTGCAGCTCCTTTGCTTTGAGACGTTAGTTAGTTAATATCAGGAGCAGAGAGCCAGGGTTTAACTCAGGATTGAAGGAACCTCAGCTTCCCATTTCCAGTGGGAAGTAAATAATGGAGAGACCTGACTCGTGGGCAGGGAAGAAAGAAGTGCCGCGGGACATTAAACGGAGCTTCTTCTCCACAGTTTTAGAACTGAGGCAGCAGTTTCACTGGGAAGCCCAGGGTAACCTTCAAGTCACTCTGTTAAGGGCCATTTTGCTGATGGGCTGCTCTTGGGGTAGTTTACCATTGTTGCAATCTGTTTTTACTTCAGCCTTCAGACAAAACAGGTGTTATGAAGACTGAAAAACAGCCTGTCCTCTGGTCTTTGTGGACCAAAAGTTGACTGAGTACTGGTTGAATCTGTCCAAGACCACATTCATGCAGACACTGTTTTAAAAGTCCTCTTTCAGGGGGTACTAAAGGTCTTTCAGGCAGCTTCTTGGATGATGGCAGAGAGTAGACCTGATGGGAGAAGTGAATGTCTTTGTTGGCTACCTCTCCTTTTAGGACTGAGTCTTCTGCATGACCACCTCTTATTGCCTCTGGAGATGACAGTCATTAGGCTGTACAGGGCTCAGGTCATCAGAGAGAATGTGGAGAAGGCTGACAATGTGAAGGGCCTGGAAATCAGCCACCTGCTAAGGAGGAGCCATAGGGAGCACCCTTTTCTGTCCTGGTAGCCCAGAGGAAGTGTGGCGGGAAGACCAGTTCTCTCTGGCAAACTGTTCTTTAGGTGAGAGGAGTTTTTGAAGAGTGCTTCTGAATGGAAAGTAGCTCTTGCTATCTTAATCACCTGTTCTAATTGCACCTCTGTATCTAACTGTATTGTGATGAACTTGTCTGTGTCATGAGACAGGGCTGGCTCTGCATGTTTTTTGTTCGGGTCTCATTTGAGAGTGGGAAATCCTTACACAGGGCAACTGTTTTTATGTCCCTAAGTGGTCATCAGGGTTAGAGTTGTGTGTAAAAGGTATTGAAGCACCATGCAAAGAACTAAGAACAGTTAGTATTACTAATACAGCAGTATTTTTTTTAATATTTATTTATTAGTATTTGGCAGACACAACATCTTTGTTTGTATGTGGTGCTGAGGATCGAACCCGGGCCGCACGCACTCCAGACGAGCA